CGCCCTCGAGATGGAAGAGGTAATTTCTCCTCTGAGCTCAGTGCAGGGCACTGCCATAGAGAAAGGTGTGAGCTAACATTAGAAAATCAAGAAGGGAGCAGCATAAGTGTGTAGAGGTCTAGAAAATAGATATGAGGAAATACTGGAAGATAAATAAGTACCTTTAAATACATTAAGGTCTCCTGCTGAAGTGAAGGGAATCATTTATTCTCCTATTCTTCACAGGCAAAATGAGAAGTAGCGGGCTTGAGGTACAACATGAAGATAAAGGTTAAATGTGAGGAGAAACTTTCTGATAATAAGGGTAGATTGCTTGGGGAGACTGTGGAGACTCCCTTACTGAGTATCTTCAAGAACAGCATAGACAAATATGAGGGAAGATACTGGTGCACAGAACCCTGCTTGGGATACGAGGCACGGCATAAGTAACCTCTCACCATCCCTTCCTAGACTTTTTTCCTTTGATTAAAGCTTAATTAAGGAAATGAAAGCCATGGGCTGGGCAAGTGATCTCAAATGTAAAAGGTAATAAAATAACCTTGGGCTTGATCATGAAAAGTGTTGAGTAGTCGTGGCTGCTCTTATTGACCTCACCCCGAGCAGAAACAAAGTAGGATTTCAAGGATGGGGCCATAAGCAGTGAATGTATATTAACTTTTAATATTGCTGAATTATTGTTGTATTGGCCAGGTCTTGTCTTGGCCATGACTCCTATCCCTCCTGTTATGAAACTTTACATTTTGTGTAGGACTATCCTGGAAATGTTCAGCTTCTTACAAAATTTGAGCCAAAAGGGTGTTTTCAGATTATTTCCATTTTTTAAACTGTTCAGATGATTTTCCCACAATGGTACTTATCCCACCCTTTGACTTTTTAGACAATGTCCCAACCACTCAATACAGGCAGTTGTTGAATTTATGAACGTGTCCTTCAACACACAACTTTGAAGTGTGAAGACATGATATGTACCCTGTGAACCTACAGTTGTTGAGATAATGTAGCCTTAAAAAATGGCAAAGGAATGGGATTTTGTAGAGAGTGAGATTTCAGAACTACTGAATGAATTGTTGAGTAGTCACTTTTTTTTTTATATTTGGGGATGACCCAAATAAAATTTCTAGAAGAGGGGGAAAATGAAGAGGCTCCAGTGATGAACAGATTACAACACAAGTTAGAGTTCTTATCAATAAAAAGCTAGTATGCTTTTACAGAAAAAAAATGTATCTTTATTAAAATTCCAGAAGTTCTTGACATGAAAAGCTTTCAACAAAAGGTTTGCATTTTGCTGTGAAAAAAAAAAAAAAAATCACTATATTCACTGGTTGAGTGGTTTGTTTTCGTCAGCATTTCTCCCAGTTTGTCTCACATCACCACCAGAGTCTGTCTTTGCTGTATTGCTCTTTTTGGGAGCGCAGATAAACTCTTCTCTCCTTGGTGTGCTCAAAAGTGTATTTGCGACTTTTTCCTGAGTCCTTCTCCTTTTCTTTCACGAGTGATCTTTGTCCTATTAAAAAAGAGAAGGTTATCAGCACTGCAGCATGAAATCACTTTGCCCAGACGAAGGTCTAGGCGGCATCAGCATGAGGTTTTTTTCCATCCCAGGGCTCTTGTTTCTTCTTCTCCTCTGAGTCAATCCGTGTCTGCATCTCTCTGTCAAGACTTGGCCTGATTCATCTATTTACTCCACATAAGCCTCCAAATAGCGATCAGATAGGAGCAGCACGTGGTCCTTCCCTCCGTAGGAAGTGTTTAAGCTGAGAATTCAAATGTAGATTGTGTATTGCTAAACCTTTCATCTGGCTTGTTCTGCAGGGAATACTGATGGGAATACTTTTTCATGCCACGTATATTCAACCTGGAAAATTTGGAGTTCCAGGAGGTCACTGAGGCAGATAATCTAGATTGGTTATTTAAGGCATGCATAATTTTATAAGTATAAAAAAATTGTGTTGTAGACAAGTATTTGGAAGATAAAATTTTTTCCGTCCTCATAGATACAAAACACCTAATGCTTTAGCAGGTCTGGGGCAAAAATGTAACTGTTAAATTAAAAAAATAAAAAAAAAAGAAGAAGATAGACTTACTGGCTTTCTCCTGTCCTTAGTTTCCTGTGTTCTCTCTCTCATAATACAAGAAGACACTCCAGACACCACATTTCTGGGGATTACCTTTCTTGGGGTTGAAGCCTTTGGCCTCATTCTTTTCCTCACAGTTAAGAGTGTTCATAAGCCCCTGGAAAGACACTGTCTGTCATGTCTTGTTGCTTAAATATCGTGATCGAGCCCGCGAATAATCTCAGACTGCTTTGACATGTTCACAATAGCTTTTGTTCTACTTCTGTACCCATCCATTTCCATTCCTTAAAGTCCCCTGGCACGGTGTCTTCCAGCGTGGACGTGGTACGTGATGGTTTGACCAGAGATGAGGTGGGAAAACCACACGATACCTTTAATTTTTGTGGATGGTAACTACGGTTTGGACAGTTAAAATGGCTCCTCGGTGGCAAAGGATGTTACTAGACCTTTTTCTCCTTGGCTGACGGGGTCGTTTTGGTTTTTTTTTCACCCTTTGGTGAAAGTTGCTGAGAAGTGGTCAGCTGAAGTGGCAGTACCCTGCCGGGTGACGTGTCCGTGTCGGGCTTTTTCAGCTTTGCTGTGTGCAGTGAAGGGCTGCGTTAACACCAGATGCCAATCATACGCCGCCGGTGGATTTGCAAGATTATAGGACAGGGAAAAAAAAAAAAAACAAAAAAAAAAACAAAACAAAAAGATGAAGGTTAAGCATGGGGCACAATAGAGATTACTTATGGTAATGAATTGTATAATTTTTCTAGACAGATCTGGATTAATGTTTATCCCAGGCAAGAGATTACTGTATGTCTGATTCTAGTTGTAAACAGACATTATTAAACAGAAGGTTTATGTTCATGAAATGCGACTATGGGTGTTAAAGCACTTATGATTTATTATGTGCAAAGAGAAAAATTAACCTGTTCATCTGCTATAGTACAAGATGCGCTGTGGATTTTTGCATAATTTGGAAGGCATCTGCTCCTTTGGAATACAAATAACCAGGGAAATGAGAAGGATTCTCCTCTCATTTACACTCATCCTATTCCCTTCACTGCAGAGGAGCTGAAGTGGTGTAACCAGCAGAAGAATAGCCTTGTGTGCTTTTATAAATCAATATTTCCATGAGAGATAATGTTGACAAAGTCTGTTTAAAGAATAGCCTTGTGTGCTTTTATAAATCAACAATATTTCCATGAGAGATAACGTTGACAAAGTTTATTTGGGATTAGCGTTCCTAAGGGTGAACTGGAAAACACAGAGGACTAATCAACAGCATCTGGACAGGACCACGATCTTTTCTCTGGGAAAAGGCTGAGGGCTGTACTGGTTCCCAAGCTGGGATTTTGTTATCAACAAGGTGGTGCATTTGCAGAGAAAGCTGAGGTTGTGCTGGGAGGCTGCGTCGCCCTCGAGATGGAAGAGGTAATTTCTCCTCTGAGCTCAGTGCAGGGCACTGCCATAGAGAAAGGTGTGAGCTAACATTAGAAAATCAAGAAGGGAGCAGCATAAGTGTGTAGAGGTCTAGAAAATAGATATGAGGAAATACTGGAAGGTAAATAAGTACCTTTAAATACATTAAGGGCTCCTGCTGAAGTGAAGGGAATCATTTATTCTCTTATTCTTCACAGGCAGAATGAGAAGTAGTGGGCTTGAGGTACAACATGAAGATAAAGGTTAAATATGAGGAGAAACTTTCTGATAATAAGGATAGATTGCTTGGGGAGACTGTGGAGACTCCCTTACTGAGTATCTTCAAGAACAGCATAGACAAATATGAGGGAAGATACTGGTGCACAGAACCCTGCTTGGGATACGAGGCACGGCATAAGTAACCTCTCACCATCCCTTCCTAGACTTTTTTCCTTTGATTAAAGCTTAATTAAGGAAATGAAAGCCATGGGCTGGGCAAGTGATCTCAAATGTAAAAGGTAATAAAATAACCTTGGGCTTGATCATGAAAAGTGTTGAGTAGTCGTGGCTGCTCTTATTGACCTCACCCCGAGCAGAAACAAAGTAGGATTTCAAGGATGGGGCCATAAGCAGTGAATGTATATTAACTTTTAATATTGCTGAATTATTGTTGTATTGGCCAGGTCTTGTCTTCGCCATGACTCCTATCCCTCCTGTTATGAAACTTTACATTTTGTGTAGGACTATCCTGGAAATGTTCAGCTTCTTACAAAATTTGAGCCAAAAGGGTGTTTTCAGATTATTTCCATTTTTTAAACTGTTCAGATGATTTTCCCACAATGGTACTTATCCCACCCTTTGACTTTTTAGACAATGTCCCAACCACTCAATACAGGCAGTTGTTGAATTTATGAACGTGTCCTTCAACACACAACTTTGAAGTGTGAAGACATGATATGTACCCTGTGAACCTACAGTTGTTGAGATAATGTAGCCTTAAAAAATGGCAAAGGAATGGGATTTTGTAGAGAGTGAGATTTCAGAACTACTGAATGAATTGTTGAGTAGTCACTTTTTTTTTTATATTTGGGGATGACCCAAATAAAATTTCTAGAAGAGGGGGAAAATGAAGAGGCTCCAGTGATGAACAGATTACAACACAAGTTAGAGTTCTTATCAATAAAAAGCTAGTATGCTTTTACAGAAAAAAAATGTATCTTTATTAAAATTCCAGAAGTTCTTGACATGAAAAGCTTTCAACAAAAGGTTTGCATTTTGCTGTGAAAAAAAAAAAAAAAATCACTATATTCACTGGTTGAGTGGTTTGTTTTCGTCAGCATTTCTCCCAGTTTGTCTCACATCACCACCAGAGTCTGTCTTTGCTGTATTGCTCTTTTTGGGAGCGCAGATAAACTCTTCTCTCCTTGGTGTGCTCAAAAGTGTATTTGCGACTTTTTCCTGAGTCCTTCTCCTTTTCTTTTACGAGTGATCTTTGTCCTATTAAAAAAGAGAAGGTTATCAGCACTGCAGCATGAAATCACTTTGCCCAGACGAAGGTCTAGGCGGCATCAGCATGAGGTTTTTTTCCATCCCAGGGCTCTTGTTTCTTCTTCTCCTCTGAGTCAATCCGTGTCTGCATCTCTCTGTCAAGACTTGGCCTGATTCATCTATTTACTCCACATAAGCCTCCAAATAGCGATCAGATAGGAGCAGCACGTGGTCCTTCCCTCCGTAGGAAGTGTTTAAGCTGAGAATTCAAATGTAGATTGTGTATTGCTAAACCTTTCATCTGGCTTGTTCTGCAGGGAATACTGATGGGAATACTTTTTCATGCCACGTATATTCAACCTGGAAAATTTGGAGTTCCAGGAGGTCACTGAGGCAGATAATCTAGATTGGTTATTTAAGGCATGCATAATTTTATAAGTATAAAAAAATTGTGTTGTAGACAAGTATTTGGAAGATAAAATTTTTTCCGTCCTCATAGATACAAAACACCTAATGCTTTAGCAGGTCTGGGGCAAAAATGTAACTGTTAAATTAAAAAAATAAAAAAAAAAGAAGAAGATAGACTTACTGGCTTTCTCCTGTCCTTAGTTTCCTGTGTTCTCTCTCTCATAATACAAGAAGACACTCCAGACACCACATTTCTGGGGATTACCTTTCTTGGGGTTGAAGCCTTTGGCCTCATTCTTTTCCTCACAGTTAAGAGTGTTCATAAGCCCCTGGAAAGACACTGTCTGTCATGTCTTGTTGCTTAAATATCGTGATCGAGCCCGCGAATAATCTCAGACTGCTTTGACATGTTCACAATAGCTTTTGTTCTACTTCTGTACCCATCCATTTCCATTCCTTAAAGTCCCCTGGCACGGTGTCTTCCAGCGTGGACGTGGTACGTGATGGTTTGACCAGAGATGAGGTGGGAAAACCACACGATACCTTTAATTTTTGTGGATGGTAACTACGGTTTGGACAGTTAAAATGGCTCCTCGGTGGCAAAGGATGTTACTAGACCTTTTTCTCCTTGGCTGACGGGGTCGTTTTGGTTTTTTTTTCACCCTTTGGTGAAAGTTGCTGAGAAGTGGTCAGCTGAAGTGGCAGTACCCTGCCGGGTGACGTGTCCGTGTCGGGCTTTTTCAGCTTTGCTGTGTGCAGTGAAGGGCTGCGTTAACACCAGATGCCAATCATACGCCGCCGGTGGATTTGCAAGATTATAGGACAGGGAAAAAAAAAAAAAACAAAAAAAAAAACAAAACAAAAAGATGAAGGTTAAGCACGGGGCACAATAGAGATTACTTATGGTAATGAATTGTATAATTTTTCTAGACAGATCTGGATTAATGTTTATCCCAGGCAAGAGATTACTGTATGTCTGATTCTAGTTGTAAACAGACATTATTAAACAGAAGGTTTATGTTCATGAAATGCGACTATGGGTGTTAAAGCACTTATGATTTATTATGTGCAAAGAGAAAAATTAACCTGTTCATCTGCTATAGTACAAGATGCGCTGTGGATTTTTGCATAATTTGGAAGGCATCTGCTCCTTTGGAATACAAATAACCAGGGAAATGAGAAGGATTCTCCTCTCATTTACACTCATCCTATTCCCTTCACTGCAGAGGAGCTGAAGTGGTGTAACCAGCAGAAGAATAGCCTTGTGTGCTTTTATAAATCAATATTTCCATGAGAGATAATGTTGACAAAGTCTGTTTACTTGTGAATCTTTAGGGTATTTTCTTTACAATTAAAAAAAATATTATGTTAATGTTCAGAGAGCTTAACACATTGCCTTGTTTGGGTTTCCCAAATAATTCTCTTTTAAAGTTGAAAATATAATGTTTAGAGATGTTGAATCTAAAAATTATATTTTTTAATCTATTTTTCACATAATTTGTCTTGCGGACGATTTGACTCCCACTTTGTCGCATGACTGCTGTTTAGCATAAGTGAGACATAGGTACAACATCCACGTTTTTAAATTCTGCCTTACCTCAGTAGCTAAATAATCACACCCGAGTCAGTGACTTCTGTGTTCTGGATGAGCTGAAAAATCTCCCTTAATGAGACTGTAAACTAACTCCAAAACTTTCCTTCTTTCATCAAGTAGACTTTTTAGCTTTGTTCCTGCTAACAAGGAAGTATCTTTTCTCTGTGAAAGCAAAGAAAAATTACAGTTATCAAAATCTGTTCATTCTATTTACGGGCTGTATTTGTAGCCATCTGATTTTTGCATAATGCCATTTGAAATTATCCATTTAACAATGATGGAGGATACAACTGTGTTGCTTTCTCTCCGCTCTGTAACTGATCCGTCTACTTATAGATTGCATTGGACACGTTGCTGATGCTTTATTTGTAACATTCACTCACATATGTGAGAAATTTGTCCATTGAGTCTCACCGACTTCAGAGAGGCTTCTCAGATAAGTAAAGTTATTCCTGTATATAAATGAAACCAGCCCAATCTGTAAAAAATATAGGAACATGGAGAAAGGCCTAGGAATATTATGAGGTGTGTTAAGTGAATTCTATAATTCTGTGGATTAGAATTTAGAATAGAATTAAAATTTTGAATTTGGAATTAGAATTAGAATTAGAACTAGAGTTAGAATTAGGACTAGAGTTAGAATTAAAACTAGAATTAGCATTTAAGTTGTTATACCAGGACGGAATAAAACGTGATCTGATAAAATGCTCTGAATGCTTCAATTAAAAAAGTTGCAGTCTTAAATTGCCATTGAAACACTCCATACCGCTTTTTTATATTTCTCAACTATATTTTACACTTGATACAAAAATATATATTCTATCATGAGAAAACTTTAATTTCAACCTTCGTAATATTTTGTCTGGTTGTCAAATTTTTCAACACCTGTGAAGTGTGAGTCCGGAGTTAAAGTTTCTCGACAAATTAATTAACCAGTAGAAGTTTCTGTGGGCTTTCTTAATGGTTCAGTGTAGCATCTGAAGGCAACAGGAACGTCTGGATGCAGCCAGGATGCGGGTGACAGTCCTGGAGGGAGTTGGGGTCAGCTGCACTGAGCTGCTTAAAAGTTTGAGCAGCCAGGCATTGTATTTTGGGAGGCACTAAAATACACGCGGGGCTCTTTTCTTTGCTGTGCGTTGGCAGACATCGATAAGTCATGAAGATGACCTCCGCCTTCCAAAGGGAAGGAAAGCTAGAAATGAAGATGCATTTCTGTTATCAGTCTGCTCTGGGTCGTAAGTTGAACTGGTGTTATATTTTCCTCTGAAAAGCCGCGTCGCCTTGACACGGTGTTTAACAGTGTTAAGCTTATTGCTGCTGAGCTAAACATGTCTGAAGCCAACGATGACCCTCACGTCTTCGCGATAGCAGAAATGTCTCCCTGACGTGATCCCGCAGACTTGGAGCATTAAGTTAATTTTCCCCTGGATTTCTGAGCTGCCTCCTTTTTAACCCGGCGGAGAGCTTGTGAAGAATACAGCTTCTGACCAAATGACAGAACGTGGAGGGTGAAATTAGATGCATTCAATTAGAAGATGACAAAAAGCCTGTCTAAATATTTGTCAGGATGCTACTTACGGGATGCAGTGTCCAGCCCCAGAAGTGAAAGGAGGACGCTCTCGGGACTTAACAGGCTGGGGAGGGAAAAACTGGGTAAATCATCCAGATTCTTTATGGGCTTGGAGAGGATAATTGAGGGTATCGAGTGGGCTGTTCTGCATCCAGGGCTGGTGATCCCTCTCCTGTAATCTCAGATTAGTTCTTTTCTTGTATTCACTTCATACAGAATTAACCGTTACAAAGTTTTCTGGGCCACTTGAGTAAATAGCCGTGTTATTTGATGGATAGAGGATGGATAATGCAGTGGTTTAGGGGGGGTGTTGAAAAAGGACGGAGAGGATAATTGAGGGTATCGAGTGGGCTGTTCTGCATCCAGGGCTGGTGATCCCTCTCCTGTAATCTCAGATTAGTTCTTTTCTTGTATTCACTTCATACAGAATTAACCGTTACAAAGTTTTCTGGGCCACTTGAGTAAATAGCCGTGTTATTTGATGGATAGAGGATGGATAATGCAGTGGTTTAGGGGGGGTGTTGAAAAAGGACGTGCTCCACCTTCTCCACAATAAAAAAAAAACCCACACCACAAAACAAAAAATACCCCAAAGCCATAAAACCCCAAGAAACAAAAAAGCCAGGGCACAAGTGTGGGCTGTGAGGTGATTGTCAGGTTGGGACCAGAAGGTTTACTGGTTTTCCAGAGGACAAAAGGATGTTCTTGAACACTAACATTCAGAGCTAGCAGTCAGTTAAACAGAAAGAGACTTAGATAGGTAACTTCGTTTGACCACATCTGTTTATCTATACATTAAATTTATGCACAACTTTTTAAAGTAAGAGATCAAATCCCTTGTAATTTCCTGCTCAGAAAGTTTTAATTGTGAAAATGAAAATTTTTAATGCAGCATATCCTGCTGACCTTTTTTTTTTTCTTATTCCTCTTACAGCAATTCAGGGGAGAATGTGACTATGACAGGGTTAATCCAGCTACATAAAAATCCATGCTGTGTATGATAGTAGTAAAGCTTGTGATCCCTTGATCTTTGATTAGATCCAAGCTAGTAAATATCTTGTGTTTAATCAGAATGGGTTGTTCTGCATGTAGTATAAGTCACCTTCACAGATGGGATGTAGCAGCAGAGTTGTTCGTGAATATTTGTTTTAATCCTTTCCAGAGCAAGCACGCTTTATGTTTCTTTGTTGTAAATCAGATTCAAGCAACTAAAGACCAGCACGAAGGAAAGACATTTACTCGCAGTCAGGAATAGGACAGTGTGGGAACCTCTTTTTTTTTTCCTTTTTAAAGAAAAATGTAACTTATTACATTCTTAAAAGGTATTTTATACTGTTCCATAAATATAACTAACACACTGTGGCTGCTTTTTTAGACTGGGATGCAAATATCATTATCTAGAATTTCATCTTAAAACTGTTGGTGCACGTTCCTAGCTTAGAAGACTATAAATATAGTGAGACTAAGATTTATTTATTTATGGTAAATGTTTGGCCTCTGTTATTCTATATTTGAGAGATATTTAGTTAGAATGGTAGCTCATCTGTGCGCTGGTACGCTGAAATTCTTAAAACATGATTTGTAAAGCTAGTTATTTTGTCTGGTATGTCAGCGTCCTATTTACCTAAATCTGTCATAATTGCCTTCCGATACGTTCTTCCTCTGACACGCCAAATATTGAAAATGAGAGGACTCTTTGCTGGGAGATTTTCTACCGAATGTCATTTTTCTGTGTTCGTAACTTGATGGGAATAACCGGACGGCCTGTAGTTAAATGCATCTCAATTTCTCTCACTTATTTTTCCTAATCACCACATGGAGCCTTCTGTGCTCGGAGGTGCGATTAGATTTAACCTGCCATCGTATCTGAAGAACTTTCTGTACAACATATTATACACAGCAAGAATTATATACGTAGATGGTGGGTCTAGTGTAATACATAAATAGATATAAAGATGAGTGTCTCTCATGCCAAAGTTAATTCCTCCTTATTTTATTTTGTTTTGTTTTGTTTTGTTTCTAACAGGAAGACTGGAGAGCCCCCACTAATAAATGGCTGGATTCCTTACCTTGGGAAGGCTTTGATTTTTAGAAAAGATGCTTTCAAATTCTTACTGGATCAGCAAAAGAAACTTGGAGATATTTTCACTGTACATATTGCTGGTGAGAATTATTTTAGTATTTATTTTTTTTTCCATCAGTGAAGTTAAATACTAATTAAAATATTTAGTTTAGAATCTTCCTTAACCAAAAACATTTTTATGTAGCATATAAGCCAATAAAAATTACTTAAATTCACATGTATTGTATACATAATAAGTATCCTTAGGGTATAACTATGAGCATGGATATTTATATCCAGCTGTAGGTATACATGCGTATTGACAGAATTTGTAGGCATGTAATGTATGAATGTGGATTTTGCCAGCACATTTAATTGTGTATTGTGAGGGGTTTTTTTTCCCTAAAGAAGGGAGAACTACCATCATCTTGACACCGCACAGAAAAATATCAGATTAAATTTAGAAAACACTTAAGAAAAAAGTGCAGAATATGTTCTCACACATTTTACAACTGGTTGACAGGAACACAAGGGAATGAATGACACATTGACTCAGTGATACAATCAGGACTGGAACACAGAAACTTCCCGTTGCCAGCCTCTTCCTCTGATCATGCTTGCTGAAAATAACAATATAATAAAGGATGATATAACCTCGCTGCTTTCTGTATTTATAGCTGTATTACTCCACTAGCTCGAATACAAACATTTGAGTGAGTTCACAGAGACACTTAGCTGTAAAAGCAAAGCGTAGAATGAAACCAGAATCTTGAATGGAACTTAAATATATAAATTTACATACATATATATATACACACACACGGAGATGTAGTTTTTACTAAAATCAATTTAAAATGCAGTATTTTCCTCTGTTCAAAAAAAGGCAAACCCTTATTAGTGTAGGTGGATGTAATAGATCTTTTGCCCCTTTAAGTGTTGATATCCTTGTTCAAATTATCAACTTCAGAGTTAAGCTTATCTCGTTTTTAGCTATTCCTATATTTTTAGGGAGTTTCAAATAAAAATGTGAAGTGTAAATTGTAAAGTTTGCTTTGTAATTTCATGCAAGTAACAGTAGCTATATATTTCCATATAAGCAATATTTGCAGTAAAAATAATTTTTTTCTTCAAAAGTCAATTAATTAAATTGCAAGCCGTATGGTTAATTAATACAATTTTTCTTCCTCTTACAAATCTGTTCTTTTTTTTTTCCTTTGGAAGAGCATTTTTACTGCTATTAAATGTGTGATTTTTTTATTCATTCTGCATTTTTTCTTTGGAAACTGGTCTGCTCGGATATTTTTCCATCTTGAAAGTGAGTTTGTCACATTACAAGACCAACTTTTATTGAAATACAGTCCTTTTTATTGTTAATCTACATTCACACTGTATATACAGTTGTACTTCTTAATAATACAGATTAATAATTATAATTTAGAGACTACCTTACTACATTCATATAGCCAGATACAGCCATACTTCAGAATCCTTAATGTGATTAATCAAATATTTATTTCTTTTTCACCTCTTTATTATTTCATACAAGGTTCTGTTTAGAGATTTGTGTGTTTAAACCATCTACGAGTGCAATTTAGTTTCACAAATTTCTATTTGCACGATAAACAAATTCCATTTCAACTTATCTCCCTGTGTTCAGGTGTTTTGGGGAAGTGATAGAGACGGAGGTAAATGGGGTGAGTCCTGGGTATCATTTCAGCCTTATGCTGGGAAATATACAATTTTTGTGGATTTGTCTTAGCGGAGCTATGACTTTAAGTTCTCTCTTGTCGCTATGAAAATACTGACCAGTCAAGACTTCACTAAAGAGACACAGTTTGTCATCCACAAGTCAAGGAAGAAGCCGAAGGTAGTTAGTGCCTCCCATCATGTCCTGCTCCGAAGACGTACAGGATTTCTATATGTCTTACTGATTTGACAAAGATGATGTTTGTACGTTCGGCAAACATAGCGTAGCCGGCTCTATATGGACTATCATTACTTTACCCCCCTGGTGGGTGTCTAAAGGTCCTGTCAAAAAATTCTATCAATAGATATTGTTCTAATTATTGGTTCTCAAACTAGTTCATTTGGAAAATGCGGAACGATGCTTGGAGTTTCTGGCGTTGCCCCGTACCGGTAATGCGATTTCGCTGATTGTACTTTCCCATGTGATGAGCAAATGATTGTCATCCCTAAAAGTCACAAGGGACATGGATGTCATCTTAATAAAGAAATTAAAAAGCACATCTTTCGATGAGAAACAATGTAAATTCCTGACCTGTCGCAGAAAATAGTTCTCTAATTGGTTTTGTGTGGTGGTGCAGCAGAATCGTTTTCCCCAAACGTCACGCCGGCGAAGCACCACTGTACATCATTGTCAGCAGTTCAGCAGAATCTCCCTAATAAGAGGACGATTACGTAAATGCAATAGTCTTCAAGCAGAATCTCCCTAATAAGAGGACGATTACATAAATGCAATAGTCTTCAGGGAAAAAAAAAAAAAAAAAAAAAAAAAGAGAAAAGGAAAGAATAAGGAGGGGAAAAAGACAGAGAGAGGGAGTCTGTTGTGTTGAGATGATCGTACTTCCTAAACCCAACCTCTCTGCTTGTTCAGGGTCAGCAGCGTAGGCAGACGGCTAGGTAAGAACTTAAAGAGCTTGAAGCAGTTTTCTCATTGTTTCTCAGGATTAAACTTTGTCTCTTTTTCTTGATAAGTTATTAGGAAAGATACCAAACCCTACAACACTCTGAGACCAGCTCAACTTTTAATAAAATAATCTTAGGCTTTTTTTTACTAAGGACACTTGCCTTTTAAAATACTGCTGCTAAGTCATTCTTTTAAATCATGATACACCTACAGTAACATATCACATTTTTCTCTCTTAGGCAAAAGGTAATTTACATTAACTCCTTACCCAGCTGAAGCCTGCTGCAAGCATTACCGAAATAACATCCATCATTAGATGCCATCTGAAATGCTTGTCTTTCATCATTAGCATTAAAAAGCTCCAGAATGCATTATTAGAGTAATTTCTTAACTATCATACAAATAGTGGCTTCTGTGCTCAGATTTACCAAAGTTGACAATTTTCATATTTTCCACATCAATCTTCTATTTCTGGGAGACTGTATAAACTAAAAGGGAGATAACCAGGCTATTTGTAGCACGAGTGTAACGCGGGCTGAAGGATTGGATGGGGTAGTACGAATTCTCTGTAGCCATATTTTAAAAATAAGCAGAGGAATTATTACAGGAACAGGCATACATCTCTTATTTTGACTCGTTTCTACGGTACTAAATAAAAAGCTCATTAACATCAACTGTTGAGATTCGGAGCGAGACATTTCTGTACGGACACGTCTACTTAGTGTTTTGTGTTGAAGGATTGTTTTTACAACCTAACAAGGAAAGGCTTGATCCCCAGTGATTTCTATATAAATACCTTCAATATTTAAGGCTTCCTGATTTGTGGAGTGTGTGATATGCCTCCGCTTCTGGCTGATCTGGCATTTACCTTTGCCAGTTCTCTGATGGAAACTCATGAGCATCAAGGTTTTGGTTCGGTTTCAGAAAAGGCTACTTTTAGGAGGTGGTTCTGGGCATTGGCTGAAATGGAAAGGCATGGGAGGGGAGGGAGGAAGCCACATTTTAAAATACCAAATAATAAGTGGAAGCTTTAGGAAAAAATTACATTTATTGGTCTCTGAGACCACCAGGAACAAGAAGTGGGAAGAGACCTCATCAGGGACAAGGACGGGATTTAAAAAGGAAAATTAAGGACCATATTGACACTCACAAAATATAAAATCATAAATTGAGGTGGGAAAGTTTGTTCCAGTTCGGATGTTTGCTGCTCAGGGTAGAGGAGGTGTTGGGGCACGGTTTTGTAATTAGCAATCTGTTCCTGTATGGAAGAGACTGGGGTAACTGGTGTAGCCGCGCAGCGTGCCTGTGTGCCAGTAGGAATGTAATTGCTAAAGGCTCCCATACCCACTCTCACAACAACAACTTCCTAACTGCCGTTAATTAGCCCTAGATTTTAGTCTTTTTCTAATTAAGAGCTCTAAAATTAGATTCTCGGTGAGGTACATAAACAAGCTGCCTTTGTTATAGAGGGGTTCCACTTTTCTAACTGTATAGACCTTTACTAAATGCAGTAACAAAAGTATTTTGGTTTCTGTGTTGATATATATATTGTTGACTTGCAGTGATGTGGTCTGCAGCCTGAATTGATTCTGCAAAACGAATTATATTTTGGTACATACTTACTTTTTGCTACCAGGAACCTGATGAGAATAATAAAAATCAGAGTCTGTAATATTCTGTTTCTCAGAGATTATTTTTTTTTTCAAAGTATGTGCTAGTGTTGAGCAAGTTTTGATTTAAAATTATTGCTAAAATAGTTTGTTTGTCTGAAAACTCATTTGCTGAAAATCATTTTCTTACTTAAAAATGATAAGAATTGATGTGCGTTTGCTAAGTGTCTGATTAAAGATCACAAAGAAACTCATATTTTGCATCAGAAATAAGCAGATGGTGGACAGATGGTTTAAATTAATATTAATTAAAAATCTTAACTTAAATTGTTTACCCTGTAAACGCAAAGTTAGGAAGCCAGCTTTCATCTTTAGGGTTAATAACACTCCAAATCTATTTATTAAAAATTGCTCCAATGGGCATTCTTTCCAAGCTTTGATCGCAAAGATGGTAGCCTCAATAAAGAGCATGACAGTGAGTGAAAGCTGGAAAGAGAGAGAAATTCTAGGACTCCTAACAACAATCCTGATGAGGTTGAGAATAAAAATTCCTGCCAGCCTCTGTGGTCTGGGAAGGAAGAAATAATCAGAAAAGGGGACTGGGAATTGAAGATCGCCTTTTCATGATGGTTTCTTGGTATCTTTATGCTTTAAAAATCTATTTATATCTATGCTTTGTTATGTTACAGTAAAGCAAACTCTACGAGTACCTTAAAAACCTTCACACGCTGTTGACAAAAAAAAGAGGGTCAAATTCTGTCTCGATTTATCCCTTATGTTTCCTTACTGGTTCAATGGGATTGCAGTGGATGTAATTGGGAGGGAAATTAAGGCATGAGGTAATTGCAGAGGAAGTCCAGAGCACACCCAGATTTACCACAGAGCACTTTGTGTATATACAAGTCAGGATACGGAATAACTATGATAATTCAAATATCACTATATGGTAACCATGGATACTTCTTGACATTTTTAGTGGTAGTGATTACTTTATCTCAGGACATCTGTCACGGAGCCAAATTTGGTCCTCAGTTAAGCATGTAGTGTTCCCATTAAAATCAAAGGAGATTTGTCCCTTCAGTGTGACAGAATTAGACTGGAAGTGCTTTGCTATTTTCCTGAGTTTAAAGCTGGGATATTTTATGGGTACTCATTTTAATGGGTACCCTTTTTCCCTAACGTATCTCTCCATTCAAGTTCAGGATCGGCAACCCTTAAATTAGGACTTCACATGGGAATCATCTATAAAGAGTTAAGATTTCATTGAGCTTTGGGACTGTTAGCATTTTGATTCATGATCGTTCACCAAAATGCTCTTCTTTAGTAGTTGACTTAAAGTTTAGGGAGAAATTGCAGGATTTTTTTGGCATGGGTGACTTGAAAAAGCATCAGACTTGATGCCGTCCTCTTCCTCCCTCCAAGCAGCAGAAGGTATGGCCATGTCACCTCACTGAGTACATCAGGAAGTTCTTGGTGCCCTCTGGCACCATGCATGATGGCTCTGGGACGGAGCATACCCCCAGGTGATCCCCACGTTTAACAGGGGAGGGCTGCTCCATTGTAGGCTATGGCTTCAAATCCTGAGGTAGTCGTTTTATGGATACTAAGCACCTTCTTAATGGAAGGTTAGCAAAACTTTAGGGAAAAAGCAGCTACAAGAGATTCTCTAAGCTGGGGGGCTGCAGCGTGCAGCAGATTTTGAGTTTCTCTGTCATCTGCTGGAAGAAAAGCTTCCCAAGTGACATGTTTTCCACTCCATCCCCCGTATTCACTTTCCTCCATCCAGAGGAAATGTGCATGTTTCACCCTTTGTGCTGGTAAAAAACTACAATTTTCAAATGCTGCTACGACTCCACACTGTATTTTCATTAATTATAGCAGAGTAGTAAATGATTTATTTCAGAGTGCTACAACTGCAGGTCATGCCCTACTGTTGGCGAAACCAGTAGCTCAGTCTACATGGAAAATGACTTCATGCTGGTTTTAGAAGAGCCACAAAAGTATACACAGGTGAAATCTGCATCTTGATGGAGAGAATGTCAATAAAACTTGTTGCATCTTCCCTTTTTTTTTTTTTTTTTTGTCTTTGCAGATTTCTTCACAGATCCTTGCTTTGGGGATTTTCTGTGTGCTTTTCTTCCAGACATTAGCTGGGCTTATTTTCTTATTTACATCTGAAAGTGTTACCAGATTATAAAAGTGCACCTGTGTCTATTTTTTTTTTTTCTTTTCTTCTATTCAGGTAGATATATTACCTTTATCATGGACCCCTTTCAATATGTCTATGTCATCCGAAATAGCAAGCAACTGGAATTTCATGAATTTGCTGATAAAATGGCTTCCAAAACTTTCGACTACCCAGCCTTGTCGAAAGGAAAATTCCCTGATCTCAAGGAAAACCTGCACAGAATCTACCAGTATCTACAAGGCAAGCCTTTGGATATCATTTCTGACCACATGATGAAAAATCTCCAGGATATATTTGAATGGAAATGCTCACAAGCAACAGATTGGGAAACAGAAAAAATGTACAAATTCTGCTGCTCTGTAATGTTTGAAGCCAGTTTTGTAACACTGTATGGAAGAGTTCCTGCTGCAGATGGCCACAAAGTTATTAGTGAAATCAGAGACAAATTTATCAAGTTTGATGCCAGCTTTCCCTATTTAGCTGCAAACATACCGATTGAGTTGCTAGGAGCTACCAAGAAGGTTCGGAAGGAGCTTATACATCATTTTTTACTTCAGAACATGACAAAATGGCTGGGAGGGTCAAAAGTGGTCCAAGCCAGACAAGATATATTTGAGAAATATGAGCTGCTTGGAGATTATGACAAAGCAGGTAGGAAACTTATGAATGATTGCTTGTCTAAAATAAAATAATTTACTATAGACCTTTGAAATAAAAAGGCAAAATGGCGACCTTGAAATTTTTTTATGTTCTTTCTAATTGGCTAATGATAAAATGTTTTACTCTGAAACAACCCTCTATGATAATTGATTTTTTTTTTGTGCTGAGGTGGTAAAACAAGATACTTAATGGCGATAATGAGAAAGATTATAACTGAGCTGCATTTCCTCCCCTTATTCCCCCCACCCCCCCCCGACATTACATTTCAAACTATTCTCATTAAGCAGAAAATTAGACTTCAGAAGCCTATTGGTCCTCATTAGCATTCACTGATCCTTGGCTGGGTCTGTGTCCTAACATCTTTTAATTAGCACACTGCAAATCTAATCAGTGTAATAAACGCTATTAATCTTCCTTTTCACTTATTTTCTCCCAGCACATCATTTTGCCTTCCTGTGGGCCTCTGTGGGAAACACGATTCCAGCTACATTCTGGGCCATGTATTATCTTCTGCGGCACCCAGAAGCTCTTGCAGCGGTGCGTGACGAGATTGACCATTTGCTGCAGTCAACAGGTCAAAAGAGAGGGCCCACGGATAACATCCACCTCACCAGAGAACAATTGGACAACCTGGTCTACCTGGGTAATTTATTTTTATCTGTTAGGAAGAAAAGAGGGGCTCTCCCGGCGAACGGGGTTTATCACTCATTTCTGTTTACTGAGAAGGTGGAGGACACAGCTGCCTAATTGACATAATAACACCCATTTACATCAATTATAAATTATGTAGTTTATAGCTGTAGATACTCTCGTTGCATGTAAACATTAAAGCCTAGGTAATTAACTATGCAAGGTATGCAAAAGGCTAAATCGAAGCTTTGCAATTATTTGAGAAAAAGTTGATGCCTATTAAGTTGTTTGATTCTGAGCATCTGCCGAAGTGTTAATGCATTTCAAATACTTCTGTATGGTTCTGCCAAGAAAGACCCTTTTCTGAAATTAAAGTGGGATAATGGATTTAAACTGCAAATGTAATTTTTTTTCACAGGCAGTTTCTTTCTTTCTCTCTCTTTAACAAAGCAAAAAAGACTTCTAAAGCGAGCGGCAGTTGAGCGATGCCTCTCAACAAAATATGAGAAGGTAAAGGTTTATAGAATAGAGGCGGCGTTTCCCGTATTGAACAAAGTAGTTTGAGTCAAAATAAGGGAACTTTAAGTGAGATACAGATTTTTCCAATGCTAGATCAGCGTTTCAGAGGGAGACCCTTGCCAGTGGCCATTAGAAGCTGTTTGATCCAGGAGCTGGATAGGCCTTCAGAGCATCAGCTGATGGTTTCACTCTGTTTGCTAGTCCACGGGCATGGGCAAGATAAATGTTGAAATTAGTCCAAAGGAGGAGAAAGGGTGTAGCAGGCAGGAGCCTAACCTTCAAGCATCTGAAAGTCTCCATGGGCAGTGCTAGCAGGGTAGACAACAGCTGAACAAAAGCATAAAGTTTCAATATTCTTTTCTTTTTAAATATGGAAAACAATCCCTTGCTGAGACTGAGCTCATGACTCTATGTTTTGGTAGCTCAAAGAAATGATGTTCTTTGATGAACTCTTGAAAAAAGCTGTGTCAAGACAGGGTGATGGAGCAACACGGTCTCTGAGCCTGGTTTGGATGTCAGTAGTAGCTACTGTTCTCCAGGACCATCCAAAGAGGAATGTCTCAAGAGCTCATGTTCAAACTTGAGTTGGTCCTTCTAGTACAAATATAAAATCAAGTTTGATCCAGTTATTTTTTGTTAGATCATTAGTGTTAATCTTTTATAGTGTGAGTCTAGTAAGTTGGTTTCATCTACAGACCCAGCTGTTTTGGTGTAGGTTTATCTCTAACTGATGGAGGACACATTTGTAGTAGGGGAGATACCTGATGACAGGGACATTTCTGAAGAATAACATGGCATTCTAAGTATTTAATGTGCTTTTAAGGACTACAAGTAAAATTGCTTCATGACAGAGTTAGCATCCACCAAAAAATAATAGAAAAGGAGAGTTATCGAGTATCAAGAAGATCAAGAGAGAATTTGTTTTGTATTTGGAGACAGTGACGGGAATGGCAAGGGAAAAAAAAAAAAAAAAAAAAAAAAAAAAAAAAACAAAAAAACATCAAGAAGATCAAGAGAGAATTTGTTTTGTATTTGGAGACAGTGACGGGAATGGCAAGGGAAAAAAAAAAAAAAAAGAAAAAAAGGAAACCAAAAGCACCCCAGAAGTGTAGGAATAAGGAAAATAAAAGCATGTACTTCACTGAAACCATCTGGTGCAAAAATGGTATGAACAGTTTAAAACATTAACTGTGTCATTCCTCTGCTGCTGCTCCTCGAAATCTTGAAGTACCTTGGTAACGTTTGATTTATGTGATGAGGGGAAAGTGCCACATCCTACTTCGTAGTATTCTTGTAACACTTTTGTTAAATTTTATAATCGCGTTAAACGTAATGTGATACGAACAGAAGCTAGATTTCAATTCTTCTGGCACTTAAGTCATAAAGGGCTGGATACTGTCCCATAAAGTAGTAATATGGAAAAAAAAAATCTGTACCATAAGAAAATTAAATTCATGCTCCAGTGGAAAGGGATGTTTTGTTAATAAATGTGTAGGAGGGACAAAGGTCCCAAGTGCATCACTTGGGTGCCAGAAGCCCCACTGTGGCAAGGAGGTTGTGGGCCAGCTCTGCCTTTGCCCTTGCAGCTCGTTGATCTCCAGCCTCTGAGATCGAGCTTTCCCTTTTCCCTCTCACGCCCTGAGAGCACAGAAATCCAGGATTTGTGTCCCTGCTCTCCAGTAAGGCAGACCAGGTGGGATTCCTGTACCTTCATCACCTTGTCATCTCCTTCTCCTGTTTTAAGCGCTCTGATTCCCCGTCCTCTTTTTGGCCTTACTGTAACAAGAGCCTTTTTTTGGATTCCTCATGCTATGGAGAGCAAGCCAGTATTGCTAAAAAGCCTTCCTCAGGAAGCAATGTTTTTATTATGGTCAGAATCTTTGGGTCTAGGGAAGAACATGGCCTGATTTTCTTCTAAATTAAAAGCACAGGTATTTGATTTTTAATTTAGAATAATAAAAAAAAAAGGGTTTTCAACCCACAGCAAAACTAACAAATTTTGGCCCTGATGATTTTTTTTTTCTGATGGCATTTCTGGGGCAGCACACTCTGTTTTGCCTACGTAAGATTTCTCCTGAAACCAAAATGCGTGTGTGTGTGTGTGTGCACAGAGTAAGATACATTATTAGTGGTTATGGCTCACCACGGAGCTCTAATATGGTAAACGACACATGAGAATGGTCTGTCGGTTTTTATGGTTATAATGGAAATGCAAAGGGTGAAGCAGAGATATCCTTAGTGCTATGTTTAATGCCAGCCCTGTTTAAATTTAGTCAGTTCGTTTGTTTAATATTAGTCCATTCATTTATCTGGTGAAGTATTCTTGCCCCGGGTCATTGCTGAATCCCAGATATTTCCTTCAAAAAGAGCACAGCTTGAAAAAATGTTTCATACACAGAAAAGGGTAGGAACCCAAAAAACAGCTAATACGGAGTGTGTAGTCGTAACAGAAATGCTAAGCATGAAAATTGTTGGTTGGACTGAGAGAAATGAATATATTTTCCTGGAATGGGCTGGGCAGTACCATTTAGTTCTTAGTAAGATGCAAATGTACTTATTTCAGAGCATCGTTTGTGTTGGCACACCGTGATGCCTGTGGGTAGATGATCCCTCCCCCCCCAAAATATTTCATACTCGATAGCTATTTTCCTACAACACACTCTAATAATTATAGTACCCTATTACCTGCTATGTGTTAGTGTAAAATTAACAATCCATTATGCCCAATAAGTTTGATAAAACATTAACGGAGAGAGATCATGTTTAATTAAAATTAACTTGCCTCCGAAAGCCAAATGCACTTCTGATTCGCAATGACCTTTTATTACCTGCAGTCCCTTGTTTTGGCTGGATGATTGACAGCTTGCTGTTTGGCTACCATGTTGTATTTCAGCTGACAAGACTTTTCATTTTAACTCAATTTGCCTGCCTATCACAAGCTGGTGGCAGGCCAGGCTCAAGTCACCCAGCTTTGCCTCAGCAGCTTGCTCTATTTCTCATTAGTACGCATTTATTCAGTGGAAATTGGAAGACAAATGCTTGAAGGCATGTGAACTAAGTATAGCAAATTAGGGTTTAAAGACTGAATATTTATAAGTATATTGAAACAGTTTTTTTTTTAAAAAAAAAAAGAAAAAAATCTAGAATGAATTGGAAGCTGAGTGCTAGCTTTAGTATAAGAGAAACGAAGAGAGAAGTGGGAGGATTCTAAGAATAACAATACTATGAGAGATATCTCTCTCTCTCTTTTTTTTTTTCCCCCCTCTCTCTCTCTCTCTCTAGAAAATATGTAAAATCTCTCTGACAACACCTTATCAAACAACAGCCTGGCTTCTTTCTGTGGCGCTCGCACAGTGAAGTTTAGCTTCTCGTGTGTGTAAGAAGTGGGGGGGGGGTGGAGGGAAGGGAGGGAAATGAGGGTCATGTTCATTTGCTGCTTGGTTATCCCTTGGTATGCTTTAAATTGCCTTGTTTGTTCGGCACAAGCACGGAAACAGATGTTGCTCTCCCGTGCTGGATAATTTACTGTACCTCGCGGTGCAGAATGGAAGGCCTCCCAAGCTTCCCAGCTGGTCTGTCAGCGGCGATGGCTGGTGTCTGCTGAACTATGACAACTGCAAGGAAAGGCTGCAGTTTTATTGTGCAGTTGTCATTCCTCTCAACGTATAGCCCCGGCGTTTGTGGAAAGCTGACTGTCTATTTTTTTTTGTATATATTTTTTTTTTTCTCCTAACGCGAGCCCCGCAAAGCCATATAAGCTCCCTTCTCCTTTGTTGATCGTAATGTGACTCATTACTTTTGTCATCTAATGATTATCGGCATCATCGCTCAGAGCCAGAGCCAAGCTCGCCTTCCCCAGCAGAACTGGTACTGGAAGGTAAAGCAGATTTGTCATTTACGATCTGACCGCTAAGCCACACTTTTTTGTGCTCCATTATTGTGATTAACTTCTGCATAAGATACGCTGCCCAATTGTCATCTGGGATCCGGCAGCGGGCAGGGACTGGGAGGATGTCACCGATAGGATGTGACCGCGGCGCTCGGGCGGTTAAACATAAACCTGCTACTTCCCAGCCGCCCTTTCAGCATTATTTTCCTTTGGGGTTGTTTTTCTTTTTTTTTTTTTTTTTCCCCCCAATCTTTCTCGCTCGATTCCTGGTGTCACCACCCACGAAGCCACCGTTTCCCAAACCCCACGTGGAGTCACCAACTTCCTTTTCCACGGGTGGGAGAGGAGGCTGGACCTTGGTCTTTGTACGGCGTAAAGTTTTGTTTGCCGGAGCGCTGCCAGTTGAAATCTATCGTGTCAGGTGCCTTGTGGCTATCCGCAGTAGAGGCCATCTTCTGGAACCGGGCTTCTTTGCTGGCTTCGTCACCAACAAGCCGATTTGACTCTGCCTGATTATAGTAACGAAGGCAGTCCAAAAGAATATGCACAGACTCACTGTACGTCACATTGAATCACGGCGCTGGCCACACAGAGCTGACCGCAGCCTCATTTCTTTAGACAAATGCATGCTTAAGGAAAAACCTCCTGCAAGAAAGCATCCAGGGCCACTTTATTTGCTATGCATGCTGCACCAGATTTAATTTTTAGTGAAAGAACGTTTGTTATTTTTTTTTTTTTTTTTTTCAGAGCCATCTACTCTGGGTAGCGACTGTCTCTAATAAACTAACCTTTTGGGTGCAGCAGTTACAGTGCCCTGGTGAACACTTAGAGAGGGCTTATTTGATATCAGAGAACGTAAACGCAGACACAAATGGATTATTATGTGCAAATGAAACCCTATTTTAGGCTATTTTTCACACTGATGATTAGAAGGAATCAAGTCACATATAACAGCGCCCATATACGCTGGTGGAAAAATAGTCAGCTTTGATTACAAAGTGAGAGATGCAGCCCTAGACAGGAGCTACATGCTGATATACATGCTATCAGAATGATTTATGCAAATTATGCATATTATTCCCAAAGGAATTCCTCCTCAAACTGCCAGGATAAATTGCCGGAAATTAGCCATAAAATCTGTCGTGCTAGGAGCAAAAGGTGAAGGCCACTGGGAAAGCAAGGACATTCAGCTTCTGGAGCCTTCCAGGATGTGATGGTGGAGACAGAAATCTTGCTTTCCCTAAGCCTGAAAGGACAGTGTTTTGTTTTCTCTTGGCCAATTAAAAGTGTCTTTCTCTCTTACAATTACCAGGCAAATAATGAATTGCTTTCATCCACTCTGACCATAACAGACACCATCATTGGGCAGCGCATTGAAAACAAAAATAAAAAAATTTAAGAATCCTCAGAATGACTATGGAATTAACAAGTGAAATTAATTTTTCTAACATATAGTCCTGCCATTGCATCCCACAGCTTTTGAAAGGCAAGCTAAATATCTCCATAGAGTACCATAACAGACACCATCATTGGGCAGCGCAGCGCATTGAAAACAAAATAAATAAATTTAAGAATCCTCAGAATGACTATGGAATTAGCAAGCGAAATTATTTTTTCTAACATACAGTCCTGCTATTACATCCCACAGCTTTCGAAAGGCAAGCTAAATATCTCCGTGGAGGCTTCGCTGGTGTTTGCTTGCAACCTCTGAAATACATGTAACCGCATAAAGCGTTGGTGGCTTTTGATGGCGCTGTTTTCAACGCCATGCCCGAATGATGACTTCCCACCCCAAAATCCATGCTGCCTCCAGCCGACAGGATTTCTCAGCACCATCAGTGAGAATCACATCGGGAGGTTCAGTGTGGTGACTCCCCACCCCGGCCCCGCGGGGCTGTTTATTGCCTCCTCCTGGTCTCTGCTTTACGTTTGGTTTGTGGGTTGGGTTTTTGTGTTGTTTTTTTGTTTTTTTTTCCTTTTTTTTCCCCTTTAGCCTGCCCTACTAAACCTGTCGAGATTCAGCAGCTGTAGCCCTGTATAACTTCCAATCATCTTCCATATTTCTGATGTTTTCCCCCCCCCCTTCCCTCTGCTTTTGTTTCATCGCAGAGAGCGCCTTAAACGAGAGTTTACGGATGTGCTCGTCCTCCATGAACATCCGCATCAGCCAGGAGGATTTTGTTCTCAAGCTCGAGGGGAATCAAGAAGTCGGTTTGAGGAAAGGAGACTGGATAGCCCTTTACCCACAGATTTTGCACATGGACCCCGAGGTCTATGAAGATCCGAAGGTAAACGTTCAGCTGGTGCTACTCTTCCCACTCCAGGCACATTTGCAGCAGCCAAGCCTTTTGTGATCTGAGTTTTGGTTTGTTGGTTTTATCCGCATCAGCCAGGAGGATTTTGTTCTCAAGCTCGAGGGGAATCAAGAAGTTGGTTTGAGGAAAGGAGACTGGATAGCCCTTTACCCACAGATTTTGCACATGGACCCCGAGGTCTATGAAGATCCGAAGGTAAACGTTCAGCTGGTGCTACTCTTCCTACTCCAGGCACATTTGCAGCAGCCAAGCCTTTTGTGATTTGAGTTGCAGCTGTAGCCCTGTATAACTTCCAATCATCTTCCATATTTCTGATGTTTTCCCCCCCCCCTTCCCTCTGCTTTTGTTTCATCGCAGAGAGCGCCTTAAACGAGAGTTTACGGATGTGCTCGTCCTCCATGAACATCCGCATCAGCCAGGAGGATTTTGTTCTCAAGCTCGAGGGGAATCAAGAAGTCGGTTTGAGGAAAGGAGACTGGATAGCCCTTTACCCACAGATTTTGCACATGGACCCCGAGGTCTATGAAGATCCGAAGGTAAACGTTCAGCTGGTGCTACTCTTCCCACTCCAGGCACATTTGCAGCAGCCAAGCCTTTTGTGATCTGAGTTTTGGTTTGTTGGTTTTTTGTTGTTTTTTTCCTTTTTTTTTTTTTTACTGCTGTTCCTTCTCGTGGAACAAATCTTCCTATTTTCAGATGTATTTTCTAGGGCCCTATAGGTCAAAGGATTCATGGCCTGAAGAGAGAAATATGGTGATGAGACTGACTGCCACCGCTTTCAAAGGAATTGACAATCGCACATTGACTACCATAAACTTGAGGCTAAATGTGGGTTTTGTTTGGCAGTGGATCATTTGATACCCAAGGAGGGCTGAATAATAGAAGGTGGTTTAAATAGCAAATAATGTGGGCCATTTAGCTAAGTGCCCCCAAAGCATCATTGACTCTCTGAAGCCCTATAATAGCAGTGTCTTACTTGAGCCTTATGCTTTTTCACCTCCCTTCGTAGGGATTCACCCCTTCTTGATCAATTAGTAGAGTGTTGTGAACTTGAGACCGTAAAGCTGCTGCTCTGCAGCGAAGCTCGGAGGGTAATTGTGTCATCTCCTTGTATTTTTCTCTGACGCTCGAGTTAATGAATATCAAAGACTCGAAATTAATCCACCCTGCCTCTGCCTTAATACGGCTTCAGAAGTTCGCCACCTGCATGCAAATTGAATAGTCGTTTCCTGGGTGAGGTTGCTCCTCAGGAATTACTGTCCCCAGCCCAGGGTGACACTGAGGAAGAGCCAGGGTGCACGCTGAGGCTGTTCAATGCCTCCCCTCGTACCTGATCCATTCTTCATCCCCCATTTTTCTAAGCAAGTGGCTGTCTCCCAGCCACGCTGGTTTCCATCCTTGGCATTTGAGCCCCCAGGGTGACACCGAGGAAGAGCCAGGGTGCACGCTGAGGTTGTTCAATGCCTCCCCTTGTACCTGATCCATTCTTCATCCCCCATTTTTCTAAGCAAGCCATGCTGGTTTCCATCCTTGGCATTTGAGCAAAAGAAGAAGGGAAATGGACTTTTTTTTTTACACATTTATAGAAAGCCCACGTTAGAGGCATTGCTCCCTGAGGCTCTCCCTTTTGGGAGTTTAAGGATGTGAGGTTGCAGGGAAAAGATGAGATTTAAATGCCTTGTTGGTGCAGGAGAGCATCTTGCTGTGCAGAAACTCCACCAGCCTCGGTGAGAGGAGGTGTGGAGCGTGTTGGAGTTAGCAGGAGTAAGGTATAGTCACAGGGATCAACGCTGGAGCCATGAAAATAACCCCCAGGAGGGCTCTACTGGCTGTCCCCACCCAAAACTGAAGACAAAGCCCACCGAGAAAATTAGGTTTTTAAAAAATAGTCCATATATTGGCAAATAGTTGATTAATATTTCCGTCTTTAAAAAGTAACAACTAGCAAATAAGCTTTTTCTCATTTTATTCTTAACACTTTATTTTGGAGAACATTATTGATTTGTCAAAAGTCCATCTGTTTGTTTAAGTTCTAGACCAAAAGCATCAGTGTGGAAACTGATCCCCTCCCTTATCCAATAATTGCCGGAATATATTACCATATTTCCATTGCTTGAATATATCTGCTTAGTATCAGCTCTGCTCAGCTTTCACAGTACAGCTTTAGTTCATATATTTTATCTGTTTGATAGTGAATGAGCAATCCACACATTGCAGTACATTGATTTCAGCACATGGGCCCTCTCGAAAAGTGGGGAAATCACTGTTCTGTTTGGTTCTTAAAATATGCAGTGTGCTTTCAACAATAACTACTGAGGATCAGATAGAGATGGAGAATGAATTTTTTGAAAGGTGCAGTCTTGAGCTTGTCATGTATTTAGGGAAAACTTTCCTGGGAAACCAGGCAGCTTGACGAGATAATTTTGTAGCAGTGCTTTTCTCCTGGATACATAAATTTAAGTTCAAGCTATCTTCTGCTTTGGCACCATATTGTATAAGTGTAAGTGTATATTGTTGACCTCTTTCTCCACTCATCAAAACCTGAATAAACGAGTCAGTTTTCTATGAAGTGAATAAGTGAACCCCTAAGTCCTAACTCAGCTTGTTGCAGAGCTCAGTAATTGGACTTCGCAAATCCCATAGAGTGAAATCTCAGGAGACTCTGTAGGAAGCCCTACATGGCTTCCCAAACAAAGCTAAATAAAAGGTGTGACACGGAGAGGCTTATATCAATCACAGGAGATGGCTCAATTTTCATAATGTTCTTAGCAATCCGTCCACACAGAACTTTTTCACCGGTTGTTGGGCAGTGTCTTCACCTTTTCCTTACAATCAGCCACCCTGTCTCTTCCAAGGAGGCCTTATGCATCCCTGAAAGTTCCTTTATTGTCAAAAATAATTCTTTATTTAGCCAGCAATCTAGCTTTTAAGGAAACACTATCCAACCCGAGGGGCTTCACCAGCACAAGACTGAGCTTGATGTCATTGTCATTGGCTCCATTCCTGTCTCACACTTGTTTCCTGCTTTCCCAATTCCTTAGGCACCAATTTATTTTTTGTTAAAAGCAATTACAACTCTCAGATGGCTCTTAAGATGACAAAGAAAGCATAAGGTTTGACCCAGTATGTCTATGTGTTCCATACCACCGTTCTTAATTGCTCCAGACGCCAGGAGTGCACCTTGTGGAAAGATTCCAACAAAGTGAAGAGCTCTGGGTGGGGTTGGGTTGGTTTTTTTAAGCTGTTGCAGCTCATATATAGCAGTGCTTTTTTAGACCAGCAGGATTTACATTTCAGGAACTGAATTTTTTAAAGGAAGAAGTGGTATTCTGGGCTTTCATTTCTTACTGTGCTTCTTCAAATGAAGCAGTAACTTACTGGGGACCAAAAAAAATGGGATGCTTCCTTTAGGCTGGGGTGTTCAAAGAGACTGAGAAGAATTACTTGTCAGTGGAAACACATACATAATCCCCTTCATCTTTGTGGAAAATCCAGACCTCTGCCTTAGAAAGACTGTTCTTCAACACCCAAAGTTATATCCCCTCCAGCCCACCTTGTACGTGTTCCCTTTCTCACAGACCACCTCCCCTGCCACTGGTTTTTCTCCACAGCAAGACCTGCAGTGCTGGTTTTTAGAGCCTTTAATCTAATGGGTAGATCAGTATCAGTATATTTTTCATTGTGGTGTGGGGTTTCTTTTTTTAATCAGTTGAGGTTGGTTTCTGTCTGACTGACTTGTTCCCAGCCAGCTCCAAATGGCTGCTGCTATAGCAGATGTATGCAAAGCAGGACAAATGCTAATGAGTGACCATAAGCAAGAAGTGTCTGTCATTTTTATTCAAAGCATGCAGGAGGATTTTGTAAGTGGTTAATTTGCCGTTGACTGAGTGAGGATGCCAGATCTCCTTCATTCAAAAACATGAATTATCTCTAAACAGGGATCCTGCTACCGGAAAATGGAAAGATTTCCAATTTGTGGGACATAGGTTTACAAGCGCGACTTGAAAGCACCTTCTTTATAGTGGTCAGTCCCTGGCGGTTGTCCTGCTTTGCACACAGCTTCTGGGGCAAACCCTTTGAAGGTCAGATGTGGCAAATTAAGCAGCAACTCTCCCCAACTGAAGGGAAAATTGACTGCAAAGCAACCGGGTCTGGTTTTCGAATAATCTGCACCACTGGGTGCAAAAGAAGGATGGATTTTGCTCTAGCTTGGAGGAACGAGATCGGTGCGATGCATTAATTTATTCATAGGCATTTGCAGAATTTGGCAGATTATCCTTATTCATGATGTATCTACCACACCGAGCGCGTATGATGCTTTACAAGAAAATTGTCCTTCCACTAAGGTTCATTGTCCCTGCTACAAAGCGGTCAAAATCTAATTACAATCAATATAGGCCAGGCACTCAGTGGATGAGACGTGGAAGTTGAAGGAGCTTGATGTAAAAGGGCTACGCTAAGTAAGTGGATTTAAGGAGCGTTCTTTGCGGGGAAGATAATGTGAGTTAATGAAACTTGAGGGAGCCAACTAAAAAGGAGAAGCTGTCAGCTCCTTGTCTTCCTCTTTATCTTATTTTCTGGGTTTCAGGAGCGTTACCGTTGCGCAAACAAAGCAACTCATGTAACTGCCTTGTTAGATATCACGCTCGCTCTCTCTTTTATTTTCAGGAGTATAAGTTCGATCGATACATAGAGAATGGCAAGAAGAAAACCACGTTCTACAAGGCAGGAAGAAAACTGAAGTATTTCCTAATGCCCTTTGGCTCTGGGATCAGCATGTGTCCAGGGAGGTTCCTCGCAATGAATGAGATGAAGATGTTCCTTTTCTTACTATTGGCTCGTTTTGATGTAGAACTAGCGGAAAACAAAGCTGTCAGACTTGATAACAGTCGCATGGGCCTTGGTATCCTCCTGCCAGACGTTGATATTGCCTTTCGTTACAAGCTAAGGTCCTGAAGAAAGTGAGCGGCTGCCTATATGCCTTCTACTAATCTCCATGTTTGTTCTGTTCCATCACTCAGCTTTGTATTTTTGGAAGCATTTGCTTTTCCCTCTCTGTTTTTACCTCCTTCCTATTTGTTTCTAAAGAGAAAGGCCCTTGGGCTGGAGGTAGATATCAGATGCGGGGACAGGGAACCTCAGTTTTTCCTGCCTGGGTTGTGACTAGTGAGGTGAGACGACAAGAGTTTGGCCAACTAAATAGCCCAACGTCCCTACAAGTCCCCATACACTTGGCCATGAGTTGAGTAGGATTTACAGGGAGGATGACATCAAGCTGAATCCAGGCCATTTATAAGAGAAACAGGCTCAGGAGCCCTCTATCCCAGGGGTTGCCCCTCGTTAGATTGGGAGGTCCCATACACCCAGCATCTGGAGGCATCTCTGCGTCTGCTCATAGAAGCATAATAGCAAGAAAGGGGGAACTTAATTCTGGGGGAGGGAGAAAGAATTGTTAGTGTTTATTATTCTAACTTTTTATTTACTCTGTTCCCTTTGTTGTCTTGATTATCTTAGCCCTTAGGTGGGAGATGTGATGGAAGCTGTGTGGGGTGGTGGGGGTTGATGTGCAAGAATGTCTTACTGGCAACACATTTCTGACTTTGGTTTTATGTACTGAGGGTGAATGCTTTGCTTTTCTTCTTTTTTGGTGCAATGCAAAAAAAATTGAAATCTGTGATTTTTTTCCTGCAGTCAGAAGGGTGGTTCTGCTGATTTTAGTAGGCTCTGGATCAAGCCTAAATGATCTTTTCTGGCTTTTGAGCCAACAAAGTATGTTTTTCAGGGAGAAAATATATGAGCCTGTTTGAAATGATTCTATCATCTCAAAAATGACCTTCTGTTTGTCTCACTGTTTTCATAGTAACACGTTCGTGTGTTTATTTTCACCATTTCTTGTGTTTGTTCCTTTCTCCAAAAAGGCAGAAGAAGGGCAAGTGTGGTATCTAAAACTACTTTTTAATGGTGTTTTACATCGTGCTTTACGCGTGCATAGGCAGCGTAGTGTGACTTCTGGAAGCAGACTTGTCCACCTACAAATTGGAAAATAAGCTCTTCCCTGGGGCCAAAATTTGAGCAAGTGAGGACCCCGGGCAGCCACAGAAGTTGTCTGTGCACTGGCTGCCCAACCTGCTTCGCTGCTGACCAGCTCTCGTTTCAAAAATTAATTTCCTAGTGCAGGAGATCTGAGAGTTTTAGACCTTGTCTCTCTTCCCAGCCGTCGCTTCAGAGACTGATGAGGATCCTCGTGGCTGTCCAGTCCCCATTTGCCAAGATGATAATTGTGGTGGGAGAGTAGCCATGTCTGTGGGCCTTGCCTTGTGTTCCCAAAAAGAACCATCTCTCTTTGGGATGTGCCAGCGTAAGTCTTTTAAAAATCTGAAATTTTGCTCGTCTCTAAAGCACTTGATGGCCTACGGATGGAAACTCTTACTTACACACTAAGGATTAGAATTATTTATTGTTATTTGTGTAGAAGCCTGTTTAGTTACTCATTTAAAGCACATACCCTAAATAAGCATCAGCATCAGTAGAAAGGCTTTCAGAGATTGGCACAGCCATGTTCCAAATCCTCCCAGGAGAAAATTGTGGTTTTGTGAGATATATCGGATAAATATTTTCTCTTCATATAGAATATCAATAACGTCTACGGTGTTGGAGTGCACTTACATTAGATGGGCTTTGCAGTTGATTAAATGCTTTAACTTTGCTTCAACATTTAATCAACAGCAAAAGCTGATTATTGCTTTGTGCCACGGAATAAAATTTGTTTTTATGGAGAGATTCTTGTACTCAAGTTACTTACTGCTGTAGTTACTCTGTAGGAGCTATTCTGTTCTCAGCCATAGCTCACAATCCAGTTTGGACATTAGAGCCTGGTTTATTGAGAGAGGAAACGTTGATATCATTATACTGTTGACTGTATTCCATTATTGCTTAAATGTAAGCTGTAAAACGTCTCATGCCACAGTTATGATAAATCTTTCTTTGGCATCCAACTTTGAAACAAACCTGAAGCAACTGCGAAAATAACAGTAGGTATTTGTTTTAAACATGTCTTTTTTTTAATATAATTGTATTCTATTTTTAGGATTTTGAATTAGAATATCACAGGCTGCTGCATAATTTGCTAGGACATAATAGGACTGTGCCAAAAGCACATGCAAATCATTAGTAATTTCAGATTAATTGCTGATCAGTTTGTGTGGTATCTATTTTGAAATTAAAAGAGGAACTAGATTGTCTCCAAAAAAGCAAATTAAATCTGTAAAGCATGCTTCCACTTAGGAAAAAAAAAAAAAAAAAGTCAGAATCTTTCCCAGGAATTGCAGGAAACTTCCATGAAGACACTTGCAGGTCTTCCTTCGGGGCTGGAGATCACTCTTAAAAAAAAAAAAAAAAAAGGTCAGAATCTTTCCCAGGAATTGCAGGAAACTTCCATGAAGACACTTGCAGGTCTTCCTTCGGGGCTGGAGATCACTCTTTGCACCATGCAAGAGGCCAACATTTTAGAATTATAGAATGTTTTGGGTTGGAAGACACCTTAAAGATCATTGAGTTCCAACCCCCTGCCATGGGCAGGGACACCTCCCACTAGACCAGGTTGCTCAAAGCCCCATCCAGCCTGGCCTTGAACCCCTCCAGGGGGCTACACTTTGCTGGGATAAAAGTTAGTTTCTCTTTTTGCTCAGGGACCAAAAATAATCAAATGTAAAGCAGGGCCTGCCCAGCTTGTCCTGGAACTGTGTCCCTGGTAACCCCTGCTCCTGGTGGCTTAGTTCTGCTGGTGAGCAATGCATCACTACCTTATCATACCCCAGCTGCAGAGGAGGTAAACCTCACACCCCTGTAAAGTCACAAGTGCTAGAGCAGGACAGAGGAAATGTCAAGCCCTTCTGGTCCATCTACTCAGCAGCTGAGAAGGTGACTTATGGACTCAGCAGCTGGTCTGACCAGCTCATGTCTCCATGACATGTCTCCATGAAATGACTCAGTCTCCATGGGGCAGGGAGTGAAAGGCCCATGGTGGCTGAATTCCTGGTCAATAAGCCTTAGCAGTGCAACAGGATGAGTGTGGACCATCCCTGGAGGTCTGTCCCAGCAGGAGCCAAGCTGGCTGAGGACGAGCATGTTTCATGACGTAGGGAGCAACATGGTTTCTGATGACCTCCTTGGCTGCAGAACCCAGGAGCGACCAGCTCGTAGCGTCTGTCACTGGGGCACCAGGATGGTGAAATCACCCAAGCAGAAACAGCAGCTCTGTTTGCAAGCATTCAGGTGCCAGTGGTGCCGCAGAGGTGAGCGGTGGGAGGTGGTTGGACCTCGTGCTCCCTTGTCCCTGCTGTCCACCTCAGCAGTAGGATCTGCCCCACAAGCCCAGCGCTGCTCCTCTCTCCCCTTGACCCAGGTGAGGTGGGAAGAGGACACGGGTGCCCCTTGAGTTTCTCTGCTGTTCCTCTAATGACCTCAGCCACCAGAATGAGATGTGACACGGCTGGTCAATACCAGCCCCCAACTGTGAGTTGTCACTGCCTATGGCATCCTCTGCTATTAAAAAAAATAATAATCTTTCTTTTTTTTCTCATATAAAATAGGTTTACTAAGTCAGTATGACCCTATAGCACCCAAGAAGAAAAGTGAATTAATCACTAACTAATGTGAATGTTAAAATGTGATATTTTTTTTTTTTATTATTCTTATTTTAATTTACAGATTGTACCTTCTCCATTTTCATCCTGGCATTCAGTGCTGCAAAATAGGTTTACTAAGTCAGTATGACCCTATAGCACCCAAGAAGAAAAGTGAATTAATCACTAACTAATGTGAATGTTAAAATGTGATATTTTTTTTTTTTATTATTCTTATTTTAATTTACAGATTGTACCTTCTCCATTTTCATCCTGGCATTCAGTGCTGCCATGAGCTAGGGCAAACTTTTCAAACTCTCACATTACTTAAAATTACCATGCTAGTCTACGTGCACCTATTTGCAAATTAGACTTTCTCATCTCTGCCAGTATGTCCTAATGTGTTAATGTAAAACCGGGTAAGAGCTGTTCTTTAGTTTGGGTTTTTAAGCCAGTTGCATGTCACTAGTTTTTGGCATTGCCATTTTTATGAGTAATGACTGGTCTGTGAATTTCTCTTGTAGAATTATAAACCATCTTTTGCTTCGTCATTATTGAACTTTCTGACATTCACAAGATTTTTGAATTGCTCTTAATTGTGCAAACTGACATTTTGTATATAGACGAACAACGGTTAGGTTCTACTTTAGTGATTAATACTCATCATTAAGGCTCTTAGATCAAATAAGGTATATTGTGAATTTCTGAGCAAGAGAATTGAAACTTCCTTATTTTAGTAATCTAACATCTTAAGTGAATTTTGTATTTCAAGGACAAAATAAAAATGAATATATCTATTTTAATATTGAATGGCTGTCCATGGCATTTTTTTCCAGCTTACCTTTACACTTTTCTCACAGATTCACAACCATTGCTTTCATTTTTAAATAATTTATTCAGCATAGGCTGTTTTTCTGTTGCTTGATCTGGAAAGGTATTTCTGCAAGGTGAAAAAAACCACCTTGGGCACACAAACTTAAGCCGGTTCTTATCAGGTGAGGAAAAAAAAGAAAAAAAGAAAAAAAAAAAAAGTAGGACTTCTCATATTCTTAGGACGTTATTCAAAATTAGTAGAAAGATCTGCAATCCGCTGGCAATTCCCAAATACAGCTCCCAGGCTTTTCCTTCTGCAAACCTCTGTGTAGTACGAGATGTATTACTTACTGTAAAATATTCTGTCCTCGCAGATCATTCATTTTAAAAGGGGGAATGTAGGAAATTTGTTAGAATATACAGCGCTGCACCAGCAAAGCACACCTTGGCTTTCCGAGTCGCAGAAGCAGCTCTTTAATATGAAGGCTGTACCTTAAAAACATCGAGGTTTCTTCGTTCCTTCGTGCAGAAATGCTTGTCAGGTACGTCTGTGAGAGCTGCTGAAGATGAGCCGTGGAGGAGATAGACCTGCAGCATCTTTCTGGGTTTAATAAATGTGCTGTAACTGCTTTGCCTCCAGATTCTATTAGAAGTTAGTGAAGTTTATAAATAAAAAGGGGCGTTATTTGAGATTTCTTGAAGGGCACGTTTCTGAGGGAGTTTTCCAGGATGATCTGAAAGGTAGCTTTGTGGGGAAGTTAATAAGACCTTCTGACACCGTGGTTTGTCTAATACTTGTTCTGACACTATGTGCTTTCTTGGTGTTACCTATATTGCACTGTATTTTAAAATTATTCAAGACATCAATTTATGCATGACATATGCTTAATTCATATGAATAGAGCCATTTTAACTGTCAGACCATAGAAAGTGAAGTATTTTTCTGCCCATTACCTAAACCAGCCAATGTACCCTGGCTAGCCATGTCCCAGTAACCACAACATAGCAGCAAAATTATCTCATTACAAAAACACCATTTAAAACTACACTTGTGAAAGTATTGTGAGCCTTAAGTTATTGTCTGTGATTATAAATAGCAATAAGTATGAAGAAATGGTTGCTGCACATAAAGAAGCATGGAAAAAAAAAAAAAAAAAAAAAAAAAAGAAAAAACAAGAGAAATGGAGAACCAAGCAGTGGGTGCAGGCTGTGGAAAGAGAGGAGAAAGCTGAGGACAAGGACAAACCTGTCAGGAGGCTGAAAAAAAAAAAAAAAAAAAAGAAAAGGAAATATCCCATTTTCATTTGAAAGCGAATAATTAAACTGTAGTGGGATCTTTATCCCCATATAAACCAGTACTGTGTCTACGCACAGTACTGGGACCTCAGGTACTGAGGTGGTGTGAAAACATCACTTGTAATAGCAGAAATGTGCCTGTCTTCAGAACTATCTACACCAAAAATTAATAATCAAAAGAAGCCTGAGCTTCAGCCGTCCCTGCTGAAAGCCTTGGAGGATTCTGTCTTGCAAGATTTTGTTAAACCGATTTTGACACTCATGTGTTGGTTTGGATGTGTCCCCCCATCACCAAAAAAAAAAACAAAACGCAAAAAAAAAAACCCAGAAGCTTTGAGTACAGCAAAGTTGAATACAAGTCCAGGTTCTGGCTCCAGAAACCAGGAGGTAAATACCCCGGGATGACTTTTGCCAGTGACTTCTCTCCTACCAGCTCATCTGGAATTCCACCTGCCCCTTTTCTTCCCAATAGTTTAGTCGCTGACCTCCCACAGGCAGCCTGTCTTTCCCTGTCTGATTTCCATCATCCCGTCAGCTAGGGAATCGGCTATATTTTCAACGTCATTATTGTTTTTTTTCCCGTTGCCTTCTAAAAAAAAATAATAATAATAATAAAAATGAAATCTTTCCAGCAGCCTCTCCCAAAATCGGCCGCGCAGGTGGCTCCAGCTGCGGGAACCGCTAAAGATTTGAGCTTGAAAAGTGGATGGGCATTAGTTGAGCTGGGGATTGAGGAAGGGATGGTGGGGAACGGGGAGGAGGGGATGCTGCTTCTCCCGGGATGGCTCCGCTCCGGGATGCAGCTTCGGTGCGGGGAGGACCCGCAAACCCGCCGGCTTGAGCTCGCCGCCTTCCCAAATCCACCCCCCCCCCCCCACGCCTCGACCCCCTACAAAAAAGGATGGGGAAGGGGGTTGTGATGATAAGGAGAGACTCCCCTCACCCTTTCCTAAAAGCAACCTGCGCTTCCAAGGATGCTGGAGTGGGGAAAAAAGGGGGGACAAAACCCCCGAGGAGGTTTTTAGGGAACCGTTTTAGGTGGTGGGTGAGTTTTGGAAAGGCTTCGGCTCGACAGAGAGGAGGTTTCCCCAATGGAAAGGCGATTGTTTGCCCCTAATCTTCAATTATGAGGATTTAAAAATAGTATTAGAGGGGCAATCTGTTCTGCAACTTCTCGGAAGGAATAATTGTTGATTTAGATAAGCGCCGATCCCTTTCAGCGCTTGATGAAGACGTTAATTTATGGCTGTCTCGCAGTTTATGGCTGTCATTAGGTTTTCAGCTTTGTCTCTCTTCGAAACGTATCTTTCCTTTGATTTTAACCCGAGACAATTATGTAAGGAAACGGCTACGTTTGATCCGAAATGCGTCGTTTCCTATAGCATTTCAAATTATTCACAGCCCGTAGTTCTCAGACGCGCATATATGAATCTAAAAAACACAGCCGTAAAGTGCTTGAAACAGACCATAAATTTTTTTGCTTCGTCTTTTATGACAACGTCTTGTGAATCAGGTTGAGAGGACAAGGGCAACTAGGGGCTTTGGGGAAGGATTTAACCCTTCCCGAGGCTGGAGAACCAGCCAAAACAGAGCAAATCCCCCTCT